AAATCTTTGCATATTTTATTATAGTACTTGGCTTTATCTTCTCGAGCTGATCTTTGAAATTTCCTGTTCAGCTCTTGCACCTCTTCAATTTTTCCATTTTGCCCATAGAATCCTTCAATACTGTAAGTCAAGGTTTGATTTTTTTCTTCAGTTCTGACACTTTGAGAAATGCTGAGTGTGTTCTTCCCTTTTGGTTTTCTAACTCCAGGTCTTGGCACATCTCATTATAATATTTGACTTTGTTTTCTCAAACTGACCTTTGAAATTTTCTGTTCCGCTCTTGTACCTCCTCACTTCTTCCATTTGTTTTCGAATTTCTATACTGAAGAGCAAGTTTCAGAGTCTCTTCTTACATCCATTTTGGTCTTTTCCTTCGTTCTTATGTTCCTAATGACCTTTTGATTTCTTCCTGTATGACATTCTGTTTTTTTGTTTTTCCTGTATGACATTCTTGATGTCATCTAGCAACTCTTCTGGTCTTCCGTCTTTAGAATCTAATGCATCAAATCTATTCTTCAGATGTTCTCTAAATTTAGGTGGGATATATTAAAGGTCATATTTTGGCTCTTGTGGACTTGTTAAATTTTCTTCAGCTTCAGGATGAATTTACATATGAGCAATTGATGGTCAGTTCCACAGTCTACCTCATTGCTTTGTAGCTTTTCTACTGTCTCTTTCCACAGGTGGAGTCAATTTGATTTCTGTGTATACCACTTGGAATGGTCCATGTGTATAGTCATCTTTTATGTTGTTCAAAAAGTTATTTGCGATGAATAATCATTGGTCTTGCAAAATTCTTTCATGCAGTCTCCAGCATTCTTTCTATCACCAAGGCCATATTTTCAAACTACTGATCCTTCCTCTTTGTTTCTGACATTTGTTTTACAGTTACCTATAATTATCAATACATCTTGATTGTATCTTTGATCAATTTTATACTGAAGAAGTTGGTGGAATTCTTCAATTTCATCATCATGGGTTTTAGTGGCTGGTGCATAAATTTGAATAATAGAGGTATTAACTGGGCTACCTTGTAGGCATACGGATATATCCCAACACAGACAGCATTGTACTTCATGACTAATTTTAATATGTCTTTATGATGATGAAAATGAAGCTATTCTTCAATTTGTCATTCCCAGCATAATAAAATATGTGATTGTCAGATTCAAAATGGCCAATACCAGTCCATTTCAGCTCACTAATGCCTGGCATATCAATGTTTACATTTTTTACAATTTCCAATTTTCCTTGATTCATACTTTTATTATTCAACATATTATTAATTATGTTGTTGTTGTTGTTGTTAAGTACCATGGAGTTGGTTCCGACTCATAGTGACCCTGCACAGGGTTTCCAAGACTGTAAATCTTTATGGGAGCAGAACACCTCATCTTTCTCCCTTCGAACTGCTGGTAGTTTCAAACTGCTGACCTTGTGGTTCACAACCTGATTTGTAACCACTACACTAAATTATAAATTTATACAGCTATTTTAAATTATAAATTACAGCTGTTTCTCTTCATTTTGAATTATGCCCCATCAAAAAATGAAGGCCCAGAAGTCTTTACTTCATTCACATCATCATAGTCAATTCTACTTTGAGGAGGCAGCTCTTCCTCAGAGACATTTTCAGTGCCTTCCAACCTGAGGGGTTTATCTTCAGGCACTGTATCTGACAATTTTCTGGTGCTCTTCTGCATGTTTCAGTATTCAGTATTCTTGTGCTGACAGTGTTCCACTGCTATTCATAAGGTTTTCAGTGACTAACGACTCAGAAGTAGTCTGTCTCTCCTTCTTCTTTAGTCTGTCTTCATGTGGAAGCTCAGGTGAAACCTGCATACCATAGGTGACCCTGCTTCCAGAATCACAGCAACACACAATCCACCACAATAAAACAAACTGACTGACCAGGTATTGTAGACTATTACTTTTCACTTTAATTGCAAACTGTTGGTTTTCAAGGCAAGAACATAGCTGGATAAAGTATGATATTGCAATAAACCACTGGTATCTAATTGGCTCTGAGTCATAGAGACCACATAGAACAGATTAGAACTGCTATATGGGTTTTTTGAGAACAGTCAGTCTCATATTTAAATATTTTGTGTATATATATAATATTATAAAGCTGCCATTTCTTTCTAAGATTTGACCAATTTTTCTTGTAGAAATGCTCTGCAGATCATTGTAAATTTTCTGTTAATTTCCAGAATTCTGAAAAAGTTTATTATGTCATTTTTTTTTCTAGTTTTTTTTTTTTTTTTTTCTTCCTAGCTTTTATGAGATAGATAAAATTTGGAGGTCTTCACTCTGACATTTTTGAAGTAACCCTCACATTTGTTATGAACTTTTAAAGAAATTATGTTTACATTTAATGATTGTATGAAATTAAAATTAGATAATGCCAGCCACTCTTTGGAAATCCTGTACAGGGTCGCTATGAGTCAGAACTGACTTGATGGCACTTAGCAATGCTTTAGTAAGTTGTTAGGATTTAATAAGAATTCAGCATAGGATTAGAAGATGACTTATTAAGAACCTACAATATGCATATGGCATAACATTATTTGATAAAAGGAAAGATAACTGAAAGCACTTACTGATGATAATCTAAGACCATAGCTTCAGTTTGAATTAAAAGTCACTATAAAGAAAGCATGACTCCTTACAACTGGACAAATAAGGAACATGATGATAAACAGAGAAAATATTGAAATCTATCAATGATTTCATTATATTTGGACCCACATTCAAAATCCATGGAAGCATCAATAAAGAAATCAAATGATTAAATGAATAGGATAAATATGCTGAAAAAGGTGTCTCTTTGAGGACTAAGGTATACATGCCAAAGCCATTAGATTTTCAATTGTCTCATATTCATTTGAACATTGGACATTGAGTAAATAAGGCTAAATTATGATATTGGTGAAGAATATTGGCTATACCATGAACTACCAGAAGAATTAACAGATCAGTCTTAGAAGAAGTACAGCCAGAGTGCTCTTTATAAATGAGTATGGTGAGACTTTGGCTCATGCACTTTTAATTAGTTATCAGGAGTGAACAGTTCCTGGAGAAGAAGAGCATGCTTGATAGAATGTCAGTCAAAAGTGTAAAACCCTCAAAAAACTGGATTGACACAGTGGTTACAACAACCGGCTCAAGCAAGGCACGATTGTAATGATGGTGTAAGGTGAGAAGTAATTTAGTCTGTTGTACTTGGATTCACTATAAATCAGAAGAGTGGCACAATGGGTTAATGCACTGGACTTCATAGTTGATTTAAACTGGAAGGTAGCCAGTTAAGCTCATCAGCTGCTCCTTGGAAGCCCTATACAGGGTCGCTATGGGTCGGAACTGACAAGACGGCACTTAACAAGAACAATAACGATAAAAAACTGTTGTATTGAACAAATCTGATATAAAATACCTCTTTCAAGTGTTAAAAAATACATGCCATGTTGAGAATTAAGGTGTGTATGACCTCAAGCAATAGAGTTTTTAATCACTTCACATGCATTTGAACATTGGACAATAAATATGGAAGAATGAAGAAAAATTATTGCATTTGAATTTTGGTATTGGCAAAGCAGATGTATATAGATTAAGAGGCAATCATTTGAACAAAAGGGGATATTGAATGGTTTAAAATCATGAAAGGTGTGTGCCAGGGTTGTATTCTTTCACCGTACTTATTCAATCTTTGTATGATGAGCAAATATTCTGAGAAAATAGATTATATAAAAAGAGCATAACATCAGGATTAAAGAAAGATTGATTAACAACCTGTAATATGCAGGTGATGCAATCTTGCTTGCTGAAAGCAAAAAGGATTTAAAATACTTACTGGTGAAGATCAAAGGCCATAGCATTCAATATGGGTTCCACCTCAATGTAATGAAAACAAGAATCCTCTCAAATGAATCAATGAATAACATCATGATAAATGGAGAAAAGATTGATGTTGTCATGACTTCATTTTGCTTGGATCCACTGTCAACACTCATGGAAACAGCAGTGAAGAAATCAAGTAACATATTACATTAAGCAAATCGACTGCACAATACCTCTTTAAACTATTCAAGAGCAAAGATAGAAGTTTCAGTATTAAAGTGTACCTGATGGAGAACAAACAAGATGGCAGATCAGGTGGACGTATAGCAGAGAGCTCCGCCAACAACAACACAGAAT